CTCCAACTTAGCCTCAACCCTGCTGAATGATTCTGCTGCGTTTAAGAGGAGCTGGCGTGCTTCTTCATTTTTGGCTTTCATAGCGAAGCCGGTGGGAACACGATACACATGTTCAATATTGGAGGATGGAACCTCCACCAATTTAGTCACGGCATCTCTCACGCCAGCTGGCGAAAGAGCGCGCCATGCATGCTCCTCTCCGAGGCGAAGAAACAGACGAACATCTTTTGGCTTTGCAGTCACAGGTCTTGCTTGTTTCTTGACCTGTACTGCTGGGTTTGGGGCGACTCGAACAGTCTTCGCTGGAGCGATTGACTTTTGGGGAGAGCCCCGGGCGACTGTTGCCCAGGTCGATTTGGCCTGGGTGACTTGGCGTTGTAGCTCCTGACTGTTCATCGGAGTTCTTTCTTTGGCCTTGGTTATAGGACAACTCATGTTTTCCTGGCAGCTTGGGCGCTGTGGAAGGATTGGGAGGGCCGCACTGAGTCCCGAATTCATGAATTGAGCAATGGCTGCTCGAAGATATATTTTCATCGAGTCGATGAACGGATCGCTCGACTCTTCTGAGTATAGGGAGACCGCGGTCTCGACAGCATTGATCGCAGCAGTGCAGATCATTATATTTTTTGCTGCTTGAGCTGCCCTGCGCTCTTCAGCTTCAATCATAGCTTGTAGTTCCGGGGGGCAGCCAATGATTTTTTGTTTCCTGCTTTCGCTGCAGGAAGGTTGTTGTTTTTCAGTCGCCACTGATGAGGGTTTGCTGGCGATCTGAGCAGGTGTGGCTTGATTAGCCTTATTCACCTCTGGAATTGCTGCCTTCTTGACAGCAGGAGCAGCAATCTTCTTTGATGTTGAAATGACGGAGGTCAAAGGGACCACATCATCATTTTTCTGACCGACATTCCATCTGGATTTGTCGAGACCCTCGATTATGTATTGGTCGATGACCATATCGCCCATTTCCACGTCTGGGTTTGTTGAGTCTGAGTCTTCCTGGAAGACTCTCAATCTTTCGGTCATCTCTGACTCCATCTTGTCTTGATCTATCGTATCGATCGATAGATTTCTTGCATCTAGGCGGTGTTGCAACCTGATTTTAATTTTCGCCATGGCTTTGTGCTGGCGCGCGGGGCGAGTGATTTTCGTAGGACCCGTCGCCATTTCGGAGACTCAGGGTCTTGCGACTATGATAATGATGAAATTAGCTTGTGAAACTATGAATTGAAGGGTTGAGGGGATGGGTAGGTGAATTTTTCATCGATTTCAAAAAAGATTGTGTAATGCATGTGTGGGTATACTGGACAAAACTAGAACTCGATGGAATAGAGATAATGGAATCAGCGGGAGACTGATAGACTGAGAGAGAACGAGCTGATCATTTCTCGTAGGAGAGAAATGATATCATAAGGGAATGTTCTAGCACTAGGCTGTGAACAACACAGTAAGTCTGGAGCAAGATATAAGGAGGTCTCAACCTCCGTCCATTCATTGTAACTAAGTTTCCTTTATACGAGAATATAGAGTCAAGTCTTACATATCACGAGAACACACGCGACAGCGGCTATAGATACCTACTGTGAGCATAACTTCCCCAAGAGTATCCATCGTCCTGCTCCCATATAGCCTAGTTAATATAACAGATACCATAGTGGGTGCGAGGTAGTGATACTTTTATTAAGTGCGTAGACGTAAAGACGAAGATACACGCAACGATTTAACCCCACACTTTATCAAATCTACTTCCAAGTATTCCTGTCACAGTATTACTATGTTACCCGTCCAGAGGAATCATATTCTAATAATATCAATGATCTATCGTAACAAAAGAGGCTAGGAGCACTGTACAAGGTGTGGCCTGGGCCAGAGAGGAGCCCAATGTGCTAGATCGTCTAACACTCAAGTAGTACAATAAAAACACACATATATATACGGCACTAGCTATGAGACTGAGACATTAATAAACTAGTGGGTAGGTACCATGGGGGTGATTACGAATATTAAATCATCTGGCTTACATGAAGCTAGACACTCAAAGATAAAGAGAATCTAGTAACTAGAATGAAAATTTCAATTTTGAGATCGGACCCAACGCCTTATATGGCGACGTCTGACATGAATCCTCATTACTAAAATAAACTTATATAAAAAATCAACAATTTTACATTTTAATTGTGATATTCTTGTATATAAAAGTCACACATACAACTGGAAAGGTTTCTCTTAAGATTTAGTGATTATAATATTTGATTTAATTTCATTACCCTAGGTTGACGAATTTTGGTAACATGTAGACGGCTACAAACCCCGTCTACATATTCAAATGAGTAAAACCTTCTCTGTGAAGTGCCCGAACTTGACTGTTCTATTTCTTGGGTTTTGCTGTTTGTAGTCCAGGGTGCAGGCTTACACAAAGGTGCCATCTTTGTGGAGTCATCCCGCCTTTTCCAATAGCCTGTCTATTATAAAGAGATGTATCGTGACGAAGAGGAACGTATATCATGTCGTGAATTACTTGGACTCATATTAATAATTCATATTGTTGTCCTTCCTGAGTCTATGACTATGTTTGACATTCAGGTCCTCTCAACCTGCAGGCCAAGGATCCCTATACCAGTAGTATATCCCCTCCTATGCCTCCCATTCAGCTCCCCTCAAATAGTACCACCCCTCACAAGTCCTCATTCGATCGTACACGTAGAAGAACCCTCAACCCTTCATTATCTCCCCTCTCCAGCCAACGAAACGATGGCTATTTGCGGGCGTATGGCAGCCGAGAAAAATTGCAAAAAAACACTGGGTGCGGAGCTCTCCTAATACCGACATTAGAGCTAGATACGAAGACGTAGTAACCCTTCTGAAGCTTTCGAAGGGGCCGGCCAGCTGGGCGCTGCAGACTTGTGGGTACCTCAAAGAATTAAAACTCTACCTCGCTCTAGCCTCCTGCCAACTTCTTCCCGCAGGTCGTGCTGAAATTTCAGAAAAGTCTTGACAGAGCGTAATTGCTGTGTGGTAGCTTAGACTAACTTTGTTTGTGCCGTCTAGGGCGCTGGGGAGTGCCGTTGATTCATCGACAAAGAAGCCCTCCTGGCTAATTAGCCGAAATCTCAGTCTTGGCGCCCACAAAAAATCCAAAGTTGAAAACTCCCCGAAAATATCAGTCCAGGCATGGTCTTCAGAGACCTTAGTCCCCTCTCGCTCCACATCTCAGCCGCTTGTTCTCCCTCAAGTAGTTTGTCCCGTTAGAGCAACAGTCCCTCATAAGTCAGGACACAGGCTTTGTATATCATGACTTAATTTCCTCCTTGCGGGTATAGGTAGCGTCGTAAATTTGTAGTGAGTGATGGCCGGTAATAAATGGGGCAAGCTCCTGTTTGCAATTGGGGTGAAGTCTTTATCGGCCGTTGTGGCGATATGATATGTGGTTAGAAAGAGGTTGAGGACTCAGATGAGAATGATAAGTGCTGCATGATTGAGAAGTCGTCAAATGGAGATATGCATGTGTTTGCTTTGGACTTCGATTGGGATGCGATTCTTCTTGGCTATCTCAGATATGCAGAGCATACTGAGCGATTACACCGGCACCACTGGAAGGTGAAGAATTCGTCTTTGCCGGCGAGGAAGGACAGGCGACTGGGGCGTGGGAATATACAAGGTGGAGATCCCTTGTAGAAATAGCAGGTTTGATATTTTCGGGATGTTTTCGGCTGTAGAACTTCTGTGGGCGCCAAGACTGAGTTTTCGGCTAATTAGCCAGGAGGGCTTCTTTGTCGATGAGTCAACGGCTCTCCCCAGCGCCCTGGACGGCACAAAAGAAGTTACGCTAAGATACTATACAGCAATTACGCTTAATCAAGCCATTTCAGACATTTCAGCACGACCTTCAGGAAGTAGTTGGAAGTAGGCCAGAGCGAGGTAGAGTTTTAATTCTTTGAGGTACCCACAAGTCTGCAGCGCCCAGCTGGCCGGCCCCTTCGAAAGCTTCAGAAGGGTTACTACGTCTTCGTATCTAGTTCTAATGTCGGTATTAGGAGAGCTCCGCACCCAGTGTTTTTTTGCAATTTTTCTCGGCTGCCATACGCCCGCAAATAGCCATCGTTTCGTTGGCTGGAGAGGGGAGATAATGAAGGGTTGAGGGTTCTTCTACGTGTACGATCGAATGAGGACTTGTGAGGGGTGGTACTATTTGAGGGGAGCTGAATGGGAGGCATAGGAGGGGATATACTACTGGTATAGGGATCCTTGGCCTGCAGGTTGAGAGGACCTGAATGTCAAACATAGTCATAGACTCAGGAAGGATAACAAGACGAATCATTAATGAGTCTATGTAATTTACAACACTAGAAGTACAACTACAGCGGAGTTTTCAGAACCTAATCCAGGTCATCTTTTGAGTATGAGATGTTTATGCGTCTAACCCAATCGTCAAAGGGGCTCGCAAGTGAAGACCTCGAGGTTTGTTTGTAGAACGGTCCTTTGCGACTTGATATTCCGCAACCTTATGCTTGAGTCCGCATCATACGATAATAGATTGTACTTAGCTTTCATGTAAGCTGTTGAAGAGCTTGTATTTGTTTGATGGACATTGCAAAATGTTGGTCAGCTCTAATTTTTCATTGTATCGCCTTGATGAGCTTTTCACCCCATACGTTATTTGAACGCCGTGAAGGAGATTAACTGTTAGCGAATATCAATCTTTCCTCCATTTTCCCCTCTAAGTTCCTTCATTGATTTATGAAAGACAGAGTAGATATGAAGGTGTTTGTTTTATGTAATTAGAAAAAGTCTGTTGGTGGAAGGACCATTTCTCTATTTATACCCCATGCGATTTAGCGGGTGGTCACGTGTAAATAAACTATCATTGATCCATTCACCACTACCCCTCCGCCTTGCTAACCTTGCCCGTACAGAACTTCAAATCAATAGTATCTCAAAAATTACCTGCTGTCCCAAATAAACTCTGCAATCCGATTAGGAGCTCTCACAATTAAATTATCTCCAAAATGGCGCCTGGGTCTGCCTTTCATCTCGAACTCTGCCGAGAATGAGACTAACCGTCTCGCAGAGGACCTCCTGGCTCCGGCCGTGGCCGTGGTGGAAAATTCAAGAAATTCACCCGTGGTGGTGAGGTCAAACCTCAAGAAACAACATGTAACCGGCTGACCACTTACAGGTGGTAAAAACTTTTCCAAAAATCTTCGTCCACTAGACGCAGAAGGGAACGAAATGGCTAAACCTGACGCCGATAACAATTCCGAGAAAGAAGAAGACTCCTCAGATGAAGATTCTCTTGAAGAAGAGGAGTCTAATCAGTCAAACTTAAATCGTGAAGAACGCCGTGCTGCAGCCAAAGCTAAGAAAGAGGCTGCAATCTTCAAGAAAAAAGCCAAGGTTGTTGAGACTGGTGATTTACCGACTAGTTCCGAAGACGAAAGTCAAGATGAAGCTATGCAATCTAATCCAAACCACACAAAAGCATCGCGGAATCAAACCATGCCTTCCGCAGATATGGCAGAGATGAGTAAGGGTGTAGAAGAACTTAAAGTATCTACCAAAGGAAAGCCAATGGCAGAACTGAGCCGTAGAGAAAGAGAGGCAGTGCAAGCACAGCAAGCTAAAGAAAGGTATCAGAAGCTTCACGAGGCTGGAAAAACAGACGAAGCAAAAGCAGATTTAGCGCGACTTAAATTAGTTCGAGAGAAAAGAGAGGCAGAAGCCGCTCGAAAACAGGTGCGTATTGATCTTTGTTCATATTCATATACTAATGCATGGAGCAGGCCGAAAAGGAAGAGCGTGAAAGACTAGAAAAGCTAAAGAAAGCCGAAATTGATGCGCGTGAATCCAAGCGAAGAGAGGCTGCATTGGGTCCAGCTAAAGGTAGGGGTAAATCGAAAGCGTAAATTTTTTTGATGGTCTCATCAATCCTGAACTTGACGAGGCGAGTATATCAGCTCCTCAATTAGTACTATGGAAAGGTCTGATCTTTCATATATTGAAAATGTATAATGCAGGCTGTATTCTTCGGCTGCATGACTTCATTCCCCCCCTTGACATGAATTTTCAAAAAAGCATGTCTTAGAAACTACCGTGTGAAGATAGCTAGTTGAGCCACAGCCATGGTTGGATATCTAAATAAGACAGCATACTTTTCTCGGTCTCAACTACAGCTGATGCCTCACGCTATCCTCTAAATACTTAGGCGGTTTCGTGCGTTTATTTTCAAGCTAAATTCTATCAATTAGCTGAATTGATGTGGACTGCTCACTTTATTTCGTTGCAACTCTAATATACCATTGAATTCGAGGCACATGTCATAGGTGAGAGAGGTTTCAAACAACTCTCCACACGATACCCGCATGACACAATTTATACAGTAAAATTTGTGAACTTACCCTAGAGGCATTCAAAGTACTTGCAGCGTAGTAAATTCTTATCACAGGCGCGATTACTGTATATTTATTGGTGTTGACCCTGAGTGTCTAACGGGTTATATTGAATAAATCAAACATATGTAGAACTGTTAACTTAAAGCTTGGAAGATAACTGTAGCAGCTCTTCATAGTCACAGACTCAGTTGGAACTTGAGTTCTATTCTATTCTAGTGACTTTTCATTCTGTGGTAGTGTTCTCAATATTTGATTTTGTTTTTTTTGAATCACTTAAAATTCAGCCTAAAAACGACAACCTATCTCTTCTACTTCAATCGCCGCAGAGTGAAGATTGATATGAATCACAAGTTAATTAATGTATAAATTATATTATACGAAGTTATGTACATGAAGACGGGCACATAATCTGTTCAACAAATGTTGCTGTTATGCCATGTCACATGAAAAAATAGCCCAACGCCAGCATTTCAATAGGTAGAAAATAATTCTCTATCTCTAGAATTTGTAGATTTTACCTTGAGAATGTGTGTTGAAATGTATGGATAAACAGATCATGGTCTTCCCCCTCTACAGCAATGGAGAAACTCGAAGCACGTACCACCACCGAAAGGACGTGAGATGCTGGCAGAAATGGGTTGGGAAAGATTTCTCCAATTATTAACAGTAACAAAGTGTTACGAGAGGCAAATACCACACCGGTAGGATTGAGTCCTGCCGAAATAGAAGTTTTTCAGGACAAAGAGTTGTGAGGAAGGAGGAAAAGCGCAGGGCGCTAGATTTTCTTGAAATTAATGTCATTATTAATGTTTTGCGTATAGATTTGACAAGAAAACTATGTATTTAGGTTAGAGTGTGTCCCGAGAGAGCGTAGACTCGTATCACGCCTATTGGGTGAAGGGCGTAAGCCTGATATGAAATGAATTCAAATCATTGTCTTCCCCATTGATTGAAAACTTGATTTAATAATATTGTCACGGAATGTAGTCGTGATCTAATCGATCGATCGAAATATACGAAGTTTATACTGATTTCCATTAGTAATGGTACCTCTCGAACAACTACTATGCGGAATAAGAGCATGTTGAAAGGAAAAATATTTTTACAGGGTATGACTAAGCGGACCGGATGGCAAGATTGAACACCTGTACGCGGTGTCCTCTACGAACCTGGGAGTGAAATATCCTCCCAGAGCCAAGTTCAGTCAAATTTCGCAATATCAAAGAAGTTGGCCCATGAGGCAATGATTCAAATTACTCCACCACGTCAAATATTCAGTCCTAAAGAGTCCGATTCCTACCTAAGCCTCATCAAGTCTACAAGTACGACCTAGTACATCCTCATTCCAATGACCACACCTCTTGTCGACCTTCTCTGGCCTCAGCTGGTCACCAAATACACGCCCACGCCGATATTTATACCCGGCGGAGGAAGCAATGTGTGTCGCACAAATCTGGGAGACTGGTTTTGGGATGGACATGAGAGGTATCAGGACAAATTAACAAGATGATGCAATGGATGGATACTGTCTCAATGGGCGTGGAATTTTGAATTTTGGCAAGGAGTTTTACCAATTGGACTTTTTGCGCGCCAGGACTTCGCATACGAGACTGCAGACGACACTATAAACACCTCTATGGTTGGATAATGCGGTTGTACATCGTCTTGGCCGGTCTGCAAAGTAGAGTTTGGAAAGCTTGGACACGTATCCCGTTCGAGACAATAGATCGCTGGTTCAAATCCGGAAAAACACAACCACTTTTCTCGCGGCGCTGGTGTACATGGATGATGAAGGTATGCTTGGATAATCAAAGGTTTTGAAATTCCCTTTGGTGGGTACTTACGGAGGAGGGTCGACTGTTTATGTAAGGAAGCATACCTTATAGTGGTATTTGCGAATGAAATGCAGAGTATGAGTGTCTCTAACGTCAAAGAGTCATCCCACATGTAAACATAGCACCAGTCATGTGTCATAGCTTTATAGCTGAATACACAATAAATGATTTAAAAAAAAAAGACTAAGCGGACCCTAAGGCCAGCATTATACATGGGCCACACATAGTGAACGGCAGGAGTTTGTGCACTAGATCCTGTAACAAACATAACCCAGAACTGAAATGAAAATAAGAAATTATGACTAGGTACTTTGCATCAAATTCACTAGTAGTATGCTGCTTCCAACTGTTAAGCAAAGTTCATACCGAAAGTTTTTTGAGAGTACTATTTGAAAGGCCGTGTTCCGAATTGACTATCAGCCGTTTAAGTTATATATCACGCACAATAAATGAATGAATATTTATTCGTAGCTGGCACGAGCTCTGCACTCAAAGAGCATGACACGGAGAAAACTAGCTTATCCGACGACTATCTACGACAATAACTCAGTTTGACATTTGGACTACTCATGTAGTGGGTGTATTCGCTGATACCACTCGAGACCTTGATACTAGGGATTCTCACCCTTCCCTCAACCGTTAATATCCACCAAAGGGAAAACAGGAAAAATCTTTGGCTACCCTAACATGCCTTTGTCATCTTGCATTTATCCGCTGCGCGAGATATGGCCTCGTGGCCCTCCCTTTCTCGAGGGAGGTGGACGTCCAGGCTACCCAGATGTTGATTCAGGGAGATGACAACCAGGAGTTGGACCAAAACACCTTCCATCGTTGCCTGTTTTTAGAGTGTCGGTAGCACTTTCCGAAACTGTAGCCTCGGTGCCCACAAGGACTTCAACACTGAAAACACTCGAAAAATTTGCGTCCCAGGGCGCCCATTTGTGACCTCTTCACTCGTTCGTCTCGCGTCCCAGCTGCCTGTCCTCCCTCAAGATGTGAAGCCCTATTAGAGCAACAACCTCCTCCCATAGACCAAGATCCGAGCTTTGTAGATTGTGACTCAATTTCCTCATTGCGGGTGTACATGGCATCATAACACGAAAATTTGAGATGGCCGATGGCCGATTAGGCAAATTCTCGATGGCAAGTAGACTAAAGCTTTTATCAGAAGTGAAGGCAAGGTTGTTTAGTAAAATTAAGGTTGAGCACTCGCGTGAGAATGTTAGGTCCAACATTTGCCGAGAAGTCATCGATTTTTCATATGCTTGAGGTTGCTTTCGACCTCGATTCGTTTGCGATTCTCCTCGGCTATCTCAGACATGCGGGGATTCTGAGCGATTACACCGGCACCACTGGAGGGTGAAGAATTCGTCTTTGCCAGCAGAGACGCTCCTAATTATACACAGGTCTACTGCGCCTGTCTGGTCAGCCTCTTCATCACAGGAGAGCCCCGCACCCAGTGGATTTTGAGACTATTGCCTGTAGCTACACACCCGCCAATGGCCATCGTTTTTTTAAATCATTTAAATATATTCAGCTATAGAGCTATGACACATGACTGGTGCTATGTTTACATGTGGGATGACTCTTTGACGTTAGAGACACTCATACTCTGCATTTCATTCGCAAATACCACTATAAGGTATGCTTCCTTACATAAACAGTCGACCCTCCTCCGTAAGTACCCACCAAAGGGAATTTCAAAACCTTTGATTATCCAAGCATACCTTCATCATCCATGTACACCAGCGCCGCGAGAAAAGTGGTTGTGTTTTTCCGGATTTGAACCAGCGATCTATTGTCTCGAACGGGATACGTGTCCAAGCTTTCCAAACTCTACTTTGCAGACCGGCCAAGACGATGTACAATCGCATTATCCAACCATAGAGGTGTTTATAGTGTCGTCTGCAGTCTCGTATGCGAAGTCCTGGCGCGCAAAAAGTCCAATTGGTAAAACTCCTTGCCAAAATTCAAAATTCCACGCCCATTGAGACAGTATCCATCCATTGCATCATCTTGTTAATTTGTCCTGATACCTCTCATGTCCATCCCAAAACCAGTCTCCCAGATTTGTGCGACACACATTGCTTCCTCCGCCGGGTATAAATATCGGCGTGGGCGTGTATTTGGTGACCAGCTGAGGCCAGAGAAGGTCGACAAGAGGTGTGGTCATTGGAATGAGGATGTACTAGGTCGTACTTGTAGACTTGATGAGGCTTAGGTAGGAATCGGACTCTTTAGGACTGAATATTTGACGTGGTGGAGTAATTTGAATCATTGCCTCATGGGCCAACTTGTTCGGTATTGCGAAGTTTGACTGAACTTGGCTCTGGGAGGATATTTCACTCCCAGGTTCGTAGAGGATACCGCGTACAGGTGTTCAATTATGCCCTCCAAAAGAAGACCTGTGGGGGTATTAATAACAATAACAATAATAATTCATTATCCTGATTTTGCTGCATGAGGCCCACGCAGGGTTTTTTTTTCGGAAGATATGTACTTCAAGTAGGATGACTCAATTTGACGTTTAGAACACTCTCACTCAAATTTGATTTGCAGATACCACCCGAGGTTAACCCTTTTAGCGTACATCCCCCACCACAGGGATAAGTATGAAAACCCTGTGGTTATCTGAGTGTGCTTTCATAATCACACAACTACAATATCACCGCGAGAGAAAGTGGTGTGTGGGTCTGACTGGATTCGAACCAGCTTTCTCCTGTCACAAATGAGTTAAGCGTATAAGCTATCCAGTATGTACTTGGGAGAACGGCCCGAATGGTGTATCACTGCACCATTCTGTCCCCTGCGGGGGTAATACAACTGGAAATAAGTCGTGGAGGAGGCATAGATACTCCCGGCCTGTAGGCAGAAAAGACCTACGTATACATACACAGTTGTTGACTCATTGGGAGAATAAACACTCACTCATTCGATCAGATTAATTATGATTCTCAAGAACTAAATTCGACTTTATTTAACCCATACATTTAGAGGGTAGATAGAAAAGCTCCCTCTTGTACTTATAACTCAAAGGAGGTACTAGTTCTTAGCCGTGTGCATTATTTTTGATTATTTCATATATTTTGCATGGTTGTAGGGCTATCCAATTGGGGGGATATCCTTGGAAACATATTTCCACTTTATCGACGCACTAATCCACAATTGATTCGACATAGCTATCCTGCCCTACTGCAAAGCGCCTGCGAAGCTTGTCGCAGGGGTAGCCGCGCGATAACGAACCAGTTTCAGCTCTACTATGGAGCGCTGATCTTGGTGGATATCCTCCTGGTAGCAGTTAGGCAACCAATATGACGACTGCGGAAAACTGAAGCGTCTCTTGAGTACATTGTCCCCTCCTCGAATGTCGCTTTTCGGAAGCATAGTCTAACTACATTAGTATGACCGGGAAGCAAAAGACACGCTGACCCGACTGGTCTGTAAAAGGTAAGGAACATCGACTCATCTTCCCTCAAGATCGTCGCGTGGGGTCATGAATTTTGACCATGATGCCACAAAGGGGCGGGACCCAGAGTTAGTGGAGTTCATGTTGCCGCGAGATTGTCGCTACGTTCTGCCGTTGAGAGCGTGAGTGTCAGACTGTCGGACAGCGCCGTTTCAGTCATTCTGACATCAATGTACATGGAGCTAGATTGAAGTCGAATTTCTGCGTGGATATGAAGGTTTGTTCTATCACGGGTCTCTGAGCCGTTATTACCGTCCTTCAAGGAAAGATGTATTCCGAGACATAGCTTGAGCCACATTGTAGATCATCGAGGCCTATGCGCACTACTGGGCTTCAAGCTGGACCAGGGACCTATGCAAGTTTTCGGGAGCTCTGCTTTGGCAAGTGCGCGTAACAAGCTGCTTTGGCTGGAGATGAGTTGTTGCAGCCTGTTGATTTCCAGTCGCTGAGTGTAGATTGCAAATTCGCTTAGCAGCGAGAGAAAAAAGGAGTGTAGTGTTAGCAAAGCACGTTGTTCGCCCTGGCTCCGGCTAGTAAGCTCTCGTGGGGGAAGCCTTGTAACTATAAATTCTCTATTAGGCTGCGCGTACGCAATCTTCTCGCGCCGTGGGACCCGCTTGAACGTCATGCAGCGGCTGCGAGTTTAAAGGCCCTATGGTCAATCGCTGATGCGCTAGCATGAGATCCTGTGTCAAGCAAAAGTCCGTGCATACTTCTTCCTCCACAAGTCACACCTGTTCTGAACATTAGCATCCGCCGGCCCCCCGGATCGATCTGGGCTCTGAGCTCCCCTTGCCCCACGATCGTCCATAGGGCCAGGCCTGGGCCATCGGCCGTTTTCCCGGGCTTACATCTTTTACTACTTACCCGGACTTGGTCTCTGCACAAATGTCCAGCTGTCTGGCCCATGCCCCCCTGTGTTTGATCAGTCAATCACTCGTATCTGATTCAACAGGTTGCTTGCAGATGTATGGTGTCAGCGCCGACTTTCCGATGCTCTATGCCAGTTCCCCCCTTCCCCCGCGGCTGCTGCTATGACGGCACACGGAGGTGGCATAACCAGAGTACTAATCCTTGCCCCCGTCAGGAGAGCTGGAGTTACCGGCAAGTGGGCCCATAATCTTACAGTCCCCAGGGTAGGTGGCAGGCAACAAAGCTGCAGGACGTTCCCCCCATACCACAATCGTATCTGTTGATTACCGAAAATGGAGCAACAGGATATCTCCCGACTAGGCAGCTACGCCGATGTCAAATTGCCATGCAACTTCAAATTATACCGAACTTGAACATATCTGCTTACTAAGAAAGGCCTGCTCCTAATATTGCCACATCACGCACCTCGTGTTGCTTAAGTATCCATGTCTCATCTAGCTAGGATACAGGCTTTTGAGTAATTTTACTGCGCTCGTAAAATTCACACTTTTAAAATTTGTACTTTTTATTGAGCTAATGGTTCGGTAGAAACGGAGCTTGAGTTATGCGGAGAAACACTGGGCCAGATTTCCACCTACCTTGGGTATTCTACATGAGATATTATCTTCGTGACAATAGAGGATGTGAGCAATTTACACGGTGTGTACAGATGTGCTTTAGTGCATTATTCTTAAGACCATCTAGCAAATAGATACAGCATCTACATTGGAAACACTAACCTGTAAGTTAAGGAACTAATTAGATAAAGCCATAAGTAATCTCCTAAAGTCTAGGAGTCAGCAGAGACATGAAATTCAGACCAATCAAGGTCTATCCTGGGTAGGAGAGTAGTCCGATGTGCTAGGTAGTCATTGGTTTAAAGTATTGCAAAAACATATCTATGCTGATACAGCCATACAATCTGCCTTGTTAAGACTTGGTACATACCTCAAAGCTAGAAGTTAACCTCTTCTCATTCAGCAACGTCAAATATTAACCATTTTCCCCTTTTGTATCGAGGGAGAATTTGGGGATGTTGAAGCTAGCTCAAGAAATATGAACTAAATTGCTTTGCCACGCCTGCTTTGATAATACATATACACGCCTCCGGTTCCTGTAATTCATATTATCATACATGCATATTTCGCCCGTCTCTAATGGAATTATGAACGCCGCAAGTTCCATGACCTACCCAGTGATAAATTTCCTAGCTCCATTCGTACAAATACATCGTTTGGGGGGGCTTTAATGTTACATAGCCATCAATCAACCTCCCAATTTGAGTATACTACCTTCTTGATTTCCCTCCCACTGATCGGGAGCGATTGAGTGCCCTCTTCGTCCTGCTCATCTTCGCCATATTCATCCTCAAAATCCCAGTGAACTAACTCTCCATAATTCGAAAGCATTCCCCGCCATTCACCAGCTGCTATCCTCGAGGCGATTCGCAGCATCAAGTGACAAAGATGGGTCGGTGGACTGAGGAGTGCACCGAAAGTTTTCTGTATTATTGCTGTAGGTAGCTGGTGAGCCATTTGTAGCATTTTCCTGCTGCCTGCGAGGGATAATGATGATACACTTGCTCGTTTCATCTTGCTGCCTATGCGTTTCGGGCTCCCGTGACATATCTGAGCATTTTTAGAATGAGAGGGGGTGGTTATCTCATGACAATCGTCCTCAGATTTTTCACTGCGATCATCTGTTAATGTCGGCGTCTTTGGATTTGAGCACAAGCTATATTCATGTGACTCTCCATCTGAAGATGAGCCATCCCAGGATTCGGTTGAGACTGGAGCCTTGACAGACCTTGAATCATTACATGAGATAGCGTTTCCAACAGGACCACATATACTGTCGTGTGGGTAAGGATAGGCTATATTTTCGGATCCATGAGAGTTTGCTACTGATGGAAGGTCGAGCGGAGAGTGCCATGATTGCGAGCTATAAAATGAGCCACTGCTCGAAACTTCTGATTCACAATCTTTTGAAATGGTAATATTTCGTGATGAAAAATTGGACTGCTTGAAAGATGGGCTCATAATCATAGATATGAACGGAGATACCATGGAAGAGCGTCCACTGTTATGGTACATGGGAGATGTCATATATTGATCCGTGGGTGAATCTGTTGTAGCCTCAAAGTGATTATTTGATAGAAGCGGGCAAATTTTGTTGATTTCATTTCCTAATTCGGCATTTATTTTATTTTGGTATGATATTTCGTGAAATTCCAGTGTTGCTGAACCAAATATCATGGAGGCATCATCGAATTCAGCTTTATTATGTAGCTTCAGATTTTTTTCGGATAGTTGGACCGGAACACTAGGTATGCTGGAAGCCAAATTTCGAGCAGGATCCTTAGTCTTTGATTTTATCTTAGTCGTAGAAAACTTGTCTGGGAGTGATGATAGACTTGGGGTTCGTCTGAGATCTCTTTGAACATTTATCTTCGAATGGTCTGATTCTATATTTGGTGCATTTTCAATTTTTTTATTTCTTTCCTTTACTTCGTTAAAGTTCCTTACGGGTTTTTTCCTAGTTGGTGTTGATGGAGGTTCTAGCAACTCTATACTGAAATGCCTTTCGAAAGGACAAGGGGTTCTGTCGAAACGTAGAATTTTGTCCAAGACCCTTTTGAGCTCTTCTATTCTCTGTAGCTCATCAGGACTGTTACTGGGAACCTCAATGCGCCAAAAGAGAGGTGGCGATCGTAAGACGAACTTGGAAATTCCATCTACACACCAAGCTTGAGATTTTGGAAGTATAGGACGGACGGCGTTTTGGCAATTCAGGAAAGCTACGGAGCCTGGTGCCCGGTAAATCCGCAAAAAGCCTATAAATGGATAAATTAATTCTGTGTCTATATTAGATATCATTAGCAGTGTAAATTAACGTACCGACGGCTATGGTTCTCTCAAATTTGGAGGCCCAAGAGAGCGTACCCGGTTCAGCATCAACTATAGCTGTATCATTGTTCCGGATAAGGCTTGAGTTTGGACTTGGTGGCTTAAATTCAACGATGCGAGCATCAGGAAGACTATACAAAGTTTCAATCTGGGAATCTGTAGATGAGGCGAAAGTATCTGGTGATATATTTGACGTATGTCTAGAGACAGACCGAGTCGATACCGAAGCCATCACAAGCTTCTATGCACTTAATAAATTCCTTACCTTATAGGATCATTCCGCAAATAGTATCTCAAGGCTATCCGCTAGGAGCCTTGTTCCAGAATCTTGCTTCAGCTGGATACCAAAAGAGCGGAAATATATGATAAGTTTCTCATTGTCCAGGATTGTGAGCGAAGGGGGGGGATGGTCGAAAAGTGAAATGATGGAGCATACTCTTCTATCAATAGTAGCTTATCCCTAAAAAAGCGAGGCCCCCTTGGTGCCTTGTTGCCTTGCGCTTTGATAAGAGTGATTAATCTGGAGAACCTTGATAAACCCGTCATTAGTCTACAACTATTTTACTCGGCACGGTCCAATGGGTTTGAAGAGCGAGATAATGAGGCCACACTTGTCCCATTTTGGCGCAAATGCAATCTTGAGGGGTGTACAATTGACGCTCGTTGGAGGCAAGTTTAGATTTGTGGAATTTTGATTTGGACATCATATACTTACTGACGGTTATTAAGCTATACGGGCTCTACAGAATCCAAACCTTTGGTCATCTCAGCATTACAAACAAGTTTTAATTGCTATTGCAGCTGGGATTGCCATCCGCTTCTTAATTTCCATACCGGTATGAATCTTCGTCCTTTAGCAGCAGTCCAAATTCACTCGGCGGAGTGATTGGATCTTTCTAGTTATATGTGAAAAGCCATTATCACTTAGCCAGTTATTAACGTGATATTCTGGGATTCTGATAAGAATTAGTTCAATGTGATCAGAATTATCCTATGGCTTATCTCATTCGCATTCGACTTCGAAAATGCGCTATGGAATGAAAGTTTGGCCACCAGCTGGGAATTCATACAAAACTATGTCCTTCAAATTCCATTCTTTTTAATGACATTTATGAAATATGTTACGCCGACGTTGGATAATCTGTAAGATATTCTTGTCTAGAAGCTATCACTGCTAACTCTCCAGCTTCATGGACTCGTGTGTGATTTCTTATCTATTGAAGTTTAATCTCACAGCATCTTAGGTTGGCATGGGTTGATTACACGTACTATAAAAAACATGAGGGTGAAACGCCAACGGCTATTCGAGAGGGTTATTATCATAATTTGCAACAATACACAGCTGAAAATAACAAGCCTAACTCAATGAGTACAAAAACTACAATAGCCAAGTTTATTTTTCGCTTCGGAAAGAGAGCTGGAATATCGCTTTTCATATTCGCCTGTTCTTATGTGCCCTTCGTGGGTCGATTAGTTTTACCTGGAGCATCTTTCTACACATTTCAGAAAGTTATCGGCTTTGCACCAGCTGCTATCATCTTTGGAACCGGGATATTTTTACCCCGAAGGTATCTCGTCATATTTTTACAAAGTTATTTTTCCTCTAGAAGTCTCACAAGAGAGCTGGTAGGTCTTTCAAAGGAAGATCATTTTAGTCACATTCTAATACGTATAGCTCGAACCCTACTTCATCCGAATCCATTTTACTAAGGATCAAAAGAGGAATTGGTTTTTTGACCGCGAAGGTCTCCTCTTTGGTTTTGGGGTCGGATTTTATCTCCTGCTTCGAATCCCACTTCTTGGCGTACTAATGTATGGTATAGCCGAAGCCTCTACAGCATATCTTGTCACCAAAATAACAGATCCCCCGCCCATACCTGCTCAGTCTGATGGTTTTGCTGCCAGCCAGCAGAAGTGGGCTAACAAACACGAGTTTCTAAGGCTAAATCTTCGTGAAATTGATAAGCAACTTCGACATAAACGTTTTGCTGACACACCTCCGAATACAACTACGAAAAAAGCCAAAAATTAAGTTACTGAGATTTGTTGGGAAAATAAATACTATTTTTTCACGCAGCCTTGAAGCAAAAATAATAGTTGGGAAAATAATGGTAGAATATTGACAATACACAATAAACTTGCCTTCTAAATAATATCACCTTTGTTTGAAAATCTTATTTTCGTCGTGCTTATTTTTCGGGATAGCTTCAAGGACGTCACATTTAGTGAAACGCGATAGTATGCCTGCAATTCCGACGCCATTGAGAAGCACTGTAACCCCCTTGACATGTAAATCGGAGATTTCTGCATCTTTCATGGTGGATACACTGGTAAGCTTATCTGCAATGACTACTTTAGCGATCTACATGACGCAGACCGGGACTTTTAAAATTCCGCGTTTCGGCTTTAACAGGATGTCATCACGTACTGAATGAACAAGGGTTATTAACCGGCTTCCTATGCTAGGAACACAAAACATACATCTTACCACAAATAACAAAAGATCGGAGCACCGGCTATTGAAGGTTTTCGATATCTCTGGAATGAATAGTCGAATTGCTGCCTAATCTAAAGATATACAAGCGAGTGGATTAGTATTTCTACTGTTTATCTAAATTTAGATTGGTTTGTGTGTAGACTAAATGTGCAGGTACTACGTCTTCCATACACGATTTAACGTCTCTCTTTTCTTAAAAGCTGAAGAATAATCAGAAAAGCCACTCGACAAAGTCTGCAAGTTATCACTCAGCGGAGGGCAAGACTGAACACCTGTACGCGGTGTCCTCTACGAACCTGGGAGTGAAATATTCTCCCAGAGCCAAGTTCAGTCAAATTTCGCAATATCAAAGAAGTTGGCCCATGAGGCAATGATTCAAATTACTCCACCACATCAAATCTTCAGTCCTAAAGAGTCCGATTCTCAACTAAGCTTCATCAAATCTACAAGTACGACCTAGTCTATCCTCATCCCAATGACCATACCTCTCGTCGACTTTCTCTGGCCTCAGCTGACCATCAAATACACGCCCACGCCGATATTTATACCCGGCGGAGGAAACAAAGCGTGGTGCACAAATCTGGGAGACTGTTCTTTGGGATGGACGTGAGAGGGATCAGGACAAGTTCACAAAATGATACAAAGGATACAAACTCGAAGGGCATGTTATCTTGAATTTTGGCAAGAGTTTTACGAATTGAGCTTTGTGCGCGTCAAGATTTCGCTTGCGAGAGTGCAGCTGACACTGTACACACAAGCCAACGATGGAAGGTGCCGTGGTTCGCCTCCTGGTGGTGTTCTCTGGTATAGTTTGAGTAGCCTGGACACCTACTCCACTTGTGAAAGAGACACCTCAGATCAGATTTCATGCCAAGAAAATTTGATGGATGATGGAGACATGTCTGGATAACTAAGGGTTTTTCAGACATTCCCCTGGATGGGTATTCACGGACGAGGGTTGACTTGGGCTGCAGAATAAGCCGGCACAACTTCGTGGTAGCATTTGCAAATGAAATTCGAGGCATGAGTTATCTCTTGTAAATTGAGTCATCATTTCTGTACTTTTCTTTGATATTGTGTCATAGCTAGATAGCTGCATACGCAATGAAAATCTGTTTCTGTCGGTATATCGGAGAAGTAAAAGTAGATGTGACATCATGTGATCTCCACATGATGTCCTCAGCACAGATGCGCTAGTCAGAATCCACAGTAAAGCTGTAAATCCTGTATAGCGTAGACAAGACAATTATGAACATTTTAGACCAACACAGAATCGTACAACTCTTTACTGAATCATTACGATAGATTGTGAAACTATACCAGAGAACACCACCAGGAGGCGAACCACGGCACCTTCCATCGTTGGCTTGTGTGTACAGTGTCAGCTGCACTCTCGCAAGCGAAATCTTGACGCGCACAAAGCTCAATTCGTAAAACTCTTGCCAAAATTCAAGATAACATGCCCTTCGAGTTTGTATCCTTTGTATCATTTTGTGAACTTGTCCTGATCCCTCTCACGTCCATCCCAAAGAACAGTCTCCCAGATTTGTGCACCACGCTTTGTTTCCTCCGCCGGGTATAAATATCGGCGTGGGCGTGTATTTGATGGTCAGCTGAGGCCAGAGAAAGTCGACGAGAGGTATGGTCATTGGGATGAGGATAGACTAGGTCGTACTTGTAGATTTGATGAAGCTTAGTTGAGAATCGGACTCTTTAGGACTGAAGATTTGATGTGGTGGAGTAATTTGAATCATTGCCTCATGGGCCAACTTCTTTGATATTGCGAAATTTGACTGAACTTGGCTTTGGGAGAATATTTCACTCCTAGGTTCGTAGAGGACACCGCGTATAGGTGTTCAGTCTTGCCCTCCAGAAAAAGCCACCATAACGTCGCAATGGTACTTGCAAATGAAATCCTAGGTTTGAGTGCTCTTGTTACGGCGTGCTGTAGGGTAGATCGAGATCGCCGTTCTCCGAGAGTATGAAAGGGACAAGTGGTGAATACTATAGAGGTGGAAAGTCGACGAAGTACTATGGCTAGAAGGAAGCGGGTTTGCGAGAGGAATACTTTAATAATATTATAAGATTGTGAAACTGGAGAACTACTTTGTTGTAGCTCCAGCTTCCTTAAGTACAAATAACTATCTAACGTATTACAACTAAGACTGTTTTAATTTCCCATCATGACTCAAACTGTGACCTCAACCATATCAATTCCAGTTGGCGCATTATCTAGTCTCACCATATAAGTGCAAGCGTTGAGGGTGAGCCGAAAAACCTGTTCCGTGAATTTTATCCTCAGGCATTCTGCTTAGACTCTGGTTCCAGAATGTCTCGCCATGACAGCTCTACTTTTAGCTTTAGTCATCTATTGTACACTTCTCTGATAATGTGTCATAACTAGATAGCTGCATACGCTATTAAAATCTGATGCAAAAATAAAATTGATTTTATGCGCAAGTGGGACCGGGACGGATCAAGTAAAGTATCGTGAAGTAAAACGATCCTCGTATCAAATTAACAAGGGCCAGGTCATCACGAATTTTTCTTTTTGCATCAGATTTTTATTGCGTATGCAGCTATATACAATCTCTTATGGATGGCAAGAGTAAAATTGTGGGAATGACTGAGGTAAGATCCCTTTAATTATTGCCTTAATTGGTATGGTCTTCATACTGGCCCATGTCTAGTTACCTGACTAATTATGCAAGCAAGGGTTACTATCCAATGACATTCCGTGAAAGTTTAAATTATGGGGATGGTTTTCAACTCAATGGGAATAGTAAAATGGTCTTCATTTGAAATTCAAAATTAAAAAAATCAATTGACATTCTCTAAAAATATAAATCTATATCAAAAATTATTGTTCTGTATTACAAAAGTCTACATCGAAGCCCTCACTATGGCTCGCAACTAAAATGAAAGCGTACAACATGTTTTGTATTTGTATTCTCCATCCTAATACTTTCAATACTCTCCATTTGCCTTTATCAATGCTACACATCTTTCGTGCATGCTGTCAACTAGTGACAATAGCCCCTCAGAATGTATGGAGTCCCATGCATCCTGTAGCAATGTCTTCAACGTGGCAGAGCGCCAAGCCTGACCCAATTTATCTCAGGACTATTTACCTGCATGTATTTTTTAAAGATGTTCCACAATTACTCGATCGGGTTCAGGTCCGGAGAGTAAGGTGGCCATCTAATAGGTGTTATTCCAACTTCACGCCGCGCCTCAATCGTTGAGTATGCTTTATGACTTGGTGCGTTGTCGTGCATGTATAGAATTTCTGGATTTTCCACGTGAAATTGATTCAAAAGAGGCAAAATCCTTTCACATACGGATGAGGCCCTCATTGATCCCCAATCCTTCTCCCAGACTAGGAATGGGCCTTTTTGTGATCCGTAAAATGATCCCCAAAATATCCAACTGTTCCCATGATCATGACGAGCCACAATATAAGTCTATTCAAACTCATAATCAGGCTAAACTCTGCTGTTAATACAAGGAAGATTTTGATAGAATTTATACGTACTTTTCTTGTCACGAGGTTTCATATGAGAACCACCCGATACCCAGGTTTCGTCAGTCCATAGTATGCGATTCCATTGTTCATCGCTCCAATCTAAATGTAATTGGGCGAACTCCAATCTTTTCTGCTTGTTAACCGCGCTTAACGGAGGCTTCTTTCGAGCAATGCGTCTGCTGTAACCTCTTTTTTTGAATGCATTAGAAATTAAACGCTCACTGCATCCCCAATGGCTGAAGGGCCCCATGGCTAGTTCCGAATAGCACATCTGTCGATTGGCAGAAGATTCCCGGACAAAAGCCTCAAGTTCATCAACTTGTTCCGCGCTTAATTTAGGTAGGCATCTTTTGCGGGGCTTAGGATTCTCAGTCTCTCGAGCACACGCAAATTGCACTTGCTTTCTCGTGAAGCCAAGTTCGTCGGATATATGTTGTAGTGTCAAGCCAAGTCTTCTTAATGTTCTTATTTCAATACATTGATCGCGAGTTAGATGCTTGCGAGCTTTAGTTTGTGGAGCAGAATTTTCGAGAGACATTGTTTGCTAGAATAGAGGATGAATTGATAGTGGTGTTAAGTTTCAAGGGCTATTTTTTGGTTTGTTTTGTTCATTTACGTGCTAGATAAAGTGACTACCGTTGCATTCCTACTGGAGCTTGAGCACGAGTAGGGTGTTGGAAATATCGCGCAATGCAATGGGCGTAATATTTATTGAACGAAAGTGAAAGTTGACTAAAAGAGTGTCATGTTTGTTTTTTTATTTTATTTTTTAAGTCCTAAACTATGCTCAATATCTCCTAGGTGTCAAGGACCGGTGCGCACGGCCAAGATCATGCTTCCCACATGCCCTACTCGGTCTCACCGCGTGACTCACTACACAACAAGTAGCTAGTTATAATTAAGAAAATAAATGCCCACACAAACTCTCATAACCAAAATTCCAAATCCCATACTCCTGTTTGTGGTTGGAAAATGACACTTCTCGTCTCATTTTCCCGCCCGTCATGCT